AGTAGGGTCTGATTTTACACACAGCCCTGAGATTGCTGCGAGAGCAGTTCCGTGTTAGTGGTAGAGGTTTAATTCCAGGAATCTGGGTTAGAGGAAGGAATAAGCAATGTGAGACTAGAGGCAACATGTGTCGATTAGTGTTTCAGATGAGTGAAGAAGTCTAAGAAGAGAAGTCAGCAGTTATTTCAGGTCATGGAAGTCTGTTTTCAAAATCTTAGGAAAGTAGGGTGTTTGGTTTACAGACAGAGCCAAGGAAGATGGAGAAGTTGAAAACGTAGGGCAAGTGGCATAGCGGATGGCATTGTATCCTCCTGAGGTCTAAAAAGTGATATTGGATTAAGTGCTCTACAGATTTTGTAATGTGTTCGAATAGCTTAAATTGTTAAATACAGTAACGCTTTCACATAGATCATATTATTCCTACTGTACAAAAGTAGAAGATGAGATTGAGAAAGTTTTAGTAATTCACCCAAGGGCACATAGCTAATAAACGTCAAAGCTGAGATTTGAAATATTGTCTGTCTGCTCCCAGTCTCCCCTTCTTCCCCACTAAGCAATGCTGGCAAGTTCAGGTTCCTCCACAAGCGTCTGCTCTCAGCGTGGTGACACTGACATACAAATTAGACAATGCAGAAAGCAAGGAGGAGGAACTGTCTCGGCTTGTTTTAAAATACAGCATCTCACTGTTTTGCACCTAAAGAATAAAATAGTAGCAGACTGAAATTTTTCTCTGAATCGATGAAATCATGCTCCAGGCTCTACTCCAAGTGCGATCAGCAGATGGGAAGTATGGGTATCACAGGTAGATTGTTAGAAATGCCCCTTCCTAGTCCGCCCCACAGACCACGTCAGAATCTCTAGGAGTGGGATTTACAATCTGGCCTTCCTGAAACTCCAGCAGATTCTGCTGTGCAGTAAGGTAGAGGAAGCGCTGTGTGGCTTGGTCTGCTCAACAACGTGCGATTTCATTTGGAAGCACTTTTCAAAAGACAATTCCGCTGAAAGAGTCACCTGGAATCCCAAAGTAACTCGGGGACCACCGAGGTCCACCAAGTAGGACCAGCAAGGCCGTCACTACATACTGTCAGTATCATACATGGGACTGTATCCTGAACTGAAATTGATAGCATTACTATTATATTATTATAGACCGCTAATGTTTTAAACGTTTAACTAAAGTGAAGGAAACAAAGAGAATCACAACTTAAAATTACCAATTAAATTTCTGTAAATACAGGAGTTTATTCTGGAAGTGAAAGGTAGTTGCTGACATATAAATTGTGACAGGAATATAAGACAAGTGTCCCTGTGTTCTGAGTTAATAATATTTTGATAATTATGGCATAAACCACAGCACGCTATGGTCTCTAAGAGAAGATGAGACTTTCCAGAGTATTTGTGGTTTTTACATCTTCATCGTGAATGACTAGGTAATAGGTTCATAGATTTCAGTTGATTATAACCACTGTTATAGCATTAAATAATTATTTGACCATTTTGAGAAAGATAAATATCATAGAACATGATTAGTATGATTTTTTAACATCACCAAGATTTTAAAGAATTCATAATTCCACAAAATTTGAATGCAATAAAATAATTGGACCCAACCAACATGTTTTCAATAAATTCAATAAGTTTCAATAAGTTCGTTACACCTGTGCTTCCAGCTATCCTGACTCAAACTTTCATTTTAAAGACATTGTAGTCATTGGGAAATCAGATTACACTTTGCTCCTTACATCCTTGTCTTTCATAGAGTCCACTATTGCTTCCTTTTTATGCTTTTGTTTGTATTGTGGCCCCCTGGCCTTGCCTCCTGCTCTATTCTTTCTAGGTTTCTTCCCCACCCTTTCTTTTATCCCAGTGAAGGAAATCTTCATTGCCAACTTGACTAACTTGAGAGGCCCCTTAGGGGACTGGTAGGGCATACTTCTGGGTATGTCCTCGGGGATTATATCTGCTCCCTGCCCCTTCCTCTCCACTGCTCTTTCCCTGTGATCTCCTTCCGAGCCACCAGGAAGCAAGCAGCTTGGCTCCACAATGCCCTTCCACCACGGTGTTTCTGCCTTGGAAACAGCCAGCCATGTTCTGAAACTTCTCAGATTGTCGCCCAGACTAAACTCTCCTCCTTTAAATTGCAGTGTTCATGTTTTGTCCCAGCAATGGGAAATCTTTCTGTTACACAAAGTTGGTACTGGGAGTAGGGTGTTGCCATGACCCTGTGAAGGACATTTTGGAAATGGTTTGCAGCAGAAGTTTAGAAAACTGAAGAAGGAAGCTAAAGAAAACCTAAAATGCTGTAAGCAGAGGCTGGTGGGTGATTCTGGTAAGAGCTCAGGAAGCCAGAATGCTGACAGGAATGCAGACATTTAAAGCTAGGTTCATGAGGTTCCAGATTGGAATGAGAACTCTCCTGGGCAACTAAAGACACTCATGAATGAAGACTTCCGGAACTGCCTCAGAAAATGGCAAGAACAATGGGCTAAGTGTGTTAGAAGCGAGGGGGAGGATTTTGAAAGCAATTAATAGCAATGTATTTTACCTGTAATACATTTTTAAATATAAACATTCACCATATTTTTTATCCCTCCCCTGCTATGTACAGTGTTTTTTTTATTAATTTGTTTATCTATAATATGTTGGAGAGAAAAATATGGAAGAAGAAGACAGCTGGCTTGGCAAAGACTAACCCCTTAGTGTGGAAGTGATGTGCATGATCGGTTGTCCTTTTTGACCAGGATTCAAGCTCCAAATTAACCTGATCCTGACCCTGATTAAATGATTCCATGAAGAAAGTCAGTGCCACCTGGTAAATATACACAAAGTTCAAGTTTTCAATATTGGTGCCTTTTAGAATTTGCATACATGAACAAAAAGATCTCCAAGAGATTCCCTAGGCAGGACATTAAAGACCAAGCTATGCCTGGAGCCTAAGTGATCAGGCCCAGCACAGATCATTGTTTGCAGCCTTGCACTCCAATGAATGTTACCCACGTACAGCAGCGGAAAGGCCAAGCTTTCTGAGCAGCGTTAGAAAAGAAGTGCTATGAGGGAGGACAAGGGGACGGCCTGCAGTGTCAAGGAAACCTAAGGGATTGTTCAGACAAATTATTTCAGCAAACCTCCACATATCCAGCTAAAAGCCAAGCACCCTAACATAGTTTTTGCAATGGCTTTTCTTGAGCTGTTTTATTCTTATCTAGGTGATGTTTGCAAGAGCTAGTTTATTAGCCAAGAGCCCCAAAGGGAATGTGTACCAGCTGAGTTGGGGAACAAAGTATGGCCATTCTTTTGGTAGGAAAATGGAAACAGTAAAATAAATTAAGCATTCTTAAAATCATAAAACTCACCAGGGGTGATGGTGCACGCCTGTAATACTAGCATTTGAGGAGGCTGAGGCAGGAGGATTGCAAGTTCCAGCCCACCCTGGGCAACTTAATGACTTAGAGAAATTCTATATCAAAATTTTAAAAGGGCTGGGGATGTAGTTCAATGTGAAGGTGCTGGGTTCAATCCAAAAAAAAAAATGCCTCCTACAACTCAGTTCTAAAAGACCATGGTTAAAATTTCATTTGTAATTTGAGTCTATAGACAAGATAAAAGTTAAGTATATATTTTAAATTTTGTTTTTTTGTGTATTTGGGGGTTTTTTTGTTTTGTTTTTTGGTACCAGGAATCAAACTTGGGTCTTTGCCCTTGCACAGCAGGTGGCGAAACCACTGAGCTAAATCTCCAGCCCCTATATTTTAAATTTAAAATATTGTTCAACATGCCACTAAAGCTTAAGAAATATTTAATTTTTTTAAAGAAAGAAGATGTTCATCTTTGTTCAGTGTTGCTGCTCTTTGTTAGAATGTTCGTTTCTAATAGAAATTAGATATTTCTAGCTCATTTCTAATAGATATTAATTATCTGGTGAATACTATAGAGAACAGTGAGTGAGCTTCTCTCCAGACAAGCTTACTATTGCAATCACCATAATGACCAATTATGTTTGTTCTATTGTTCATTATAAAAATGGAAAATTTCTGAAAGTCTCAAAAAAAATACCCAAGTAATATAAGAAAATATATAAAGAGCATGTTGAGTGAAAATTAATTTAGTCAAATCAAAACTAAATACTGAATGCATATTCCATGACAACAAGTAAGATAAGGATAGAATTAAAGGATGACTTACTTGAAAAAAGTATTTTTGGACTAGAAGCAATATGCAGACCTGTGAAGGAATTAGTAAACTTGTTTCCTTGGCATTTGGGAGTCTGAGGGTATGCAGGGATTTTGGCAGGGAATTTTAAATTACGAGACTGAGGCCCATATCCTGACTATGCTACTTGGACCAATCAATTAATTAGTTTGCACCTCACCTATAAAAAACAGAAATAATAGCAATGTCTACCTCTTCTGATTGTTTTGAAAAATTAAGTGAATTTATGTATGGGAAAGTCTACGAGAAATTACAGTGCAACTCAGGAATTTCAGTTATTACGTGCATATGTTAATAATTCTTAGGCTTCTGTTTAGAGAGCTGAGTATAATTTTCACCAAAAACACTTGCAGCATCTATGATGAGCTAGAAGTGCCAAGTTCATGGGCATCTGTTGAGGGACTCAGCACTTTAAGTCTTTTTAGGTAAAATATATCAAGAACTGTTACTGTAGACACTGCAATGTATATACCTGCACTTTTGTCTATAAATACCATTATTGCTTTATTAGTATAAATTTCTTCATTTACCTGGAAATAATTACATTAAAAAGTAAATTGTGCTTTCTCACAATGGAAAAGAGATGATCACTAATATATGTGAAGCTGTATATTGACATCACTTTATGATTTTATAAGTGATACATTTTCAGGTTTTACTTGTCTGAACTTTATGCTTCTCTATCAGTAAAAATTGATAATAGCTCAGGGTAAGCATTAAAGACAAAAATTCAGACTGTGAGAAAATTATTTTAATTTAGCTCTACTATAGAGATGAAGTATGATGTTGATACTAATATTAAAATCTCTGATAACGTGCTTTTTTGTAGGCAGTCTATCATACTAGTAAAACACTAGATGAAGAGTTGAAAACCCGTTTCCATTCTCAACTTTCCTACTAACTTATTTCATAACTTTAGAGAAATTCATGGGCATCAGTGTGCTGCAGGTTTTTATTCTATAAGGAAGGTGGGGTAGAGCTGAGCAAGAATCCCCTTCTTGTCCCAGAAATCTCTCCTCCTCCTGAGCGTTGCATGGATTGTAGTGCTGGAGCCCTAGGAATTAGTTGCCAACGCTTCTGTTTAAAATGTGCTGGGTTCTGCTGTTACTGTGGCTACAGAAAGAATGGAAATTCTATGGCAGTACCAATTCCTTTTTAAATTGCCATGTTGGGGTCATTTCTTTAAAAAAAAAAAAAAAAGATAAAGAGCAAATTGTGACCGGTGGGCCTGCTGTCCTGCAGAAGGGAGTCAGTTACACGGCTGAGTAGAGCATGACCATGCGGACCTATGGCCGCACAAAAGCAATTATGCTTTCCTCTGTATGGCTCAGACCAACTTTTGTCTTTTGATCATAGAAAATTATTTCCATAAATAAACTGTGACTATAAATATTTCTATGATATCTTTATGGAGATAAAATATCCCATACTAAACTACTATTTTGAATAGCGTGAGACATTTGGGAAACTGGTAGCTTCACAATGAGTGCTTAGCTGGATCACCTTCTGACCCAGCTTGGAATGGGTCTCATGCACACAGACACTACTGTTCCACCGTTACCAGTTGCGCTTTGCCAATCAAGAGAACTTTTGCTAGCACCTGGGGACTTTCAAAATGCCAGAGTCACTGCTTTTCTAGCTAGAGCACAAATTTAGGAGAAAGTGCTCTGAATCTGGGTAACACCTGTTATATAAGTTCCTCCTCTTGTAGTTGTTGATGTTGAGACAGAAGACTGAAATTTAGGTGACAATTCTCATGAACATCATTCCGACATGGCCATCCACAAGGACCCCATAATACATGTTTCCTAATAGAATAAATGGGATGAGATCCCCTTTTGCCTGGGTGGTAGGAAATTAAATTTCAGTTGATGGGGGTCTTTCTCTCTCTAGGGTCACACAGAAATCCAGGTGTCTTTGTGCTGTTTTGGACACACTGCTCCTTTGAGGGAGAGGAATGTGCAAGTTCTCACCACCCAGGGTGCCTGCCAGCATCTTCCACTCCTGCCTTCCCCCACTCACCTGTCCCCCTGAGAGACAGTCTGCTCTCAGCACTCAGGAGACTTCAACAAAAGGAATCTTTCCACAGGCCCCCTCTGCTCTGCTTCTTGAGAATATGGCTGGGCATTTTGCTCTCCTCCATCCTCCAGGACCCAGCAAATCTCTTCTTCCTGAGAATGAGGAACTATGTGATAAGCCCTGCCAGTTTTCTGCTCCCTGTTACACATTCATGATTTCGGAGCATCCTAAGCGATCTCATCTCCTTCTCCTGGTGAGAGAGTCACATCCTCCGGAAGCATTCCTGGGAGCACCGTATTTCTCTTTTGAGTGAAGGCATTGGATATTGATTTTCAGGACCAAATTTATTTTCTATCTTCCGTTCTCACAGGCTGCTTAGACCAGACGACATTCACACATGGATGGAGCATCAGTTGCTAATTAACCGCTCTTAAAATGTACTTATTTCTAATTCATAATTTTAAAAGAAATTGAAGAAATCACAGTAAAATACCATTATCTTCCTCTATGGTGGCTCTTTTTTTTAAAAGAACAAGCAATTGTAAGTGTTGGTATTTGGAGAAATTGGAACCTCTAAGCCTTGGTGGTAGAAGGTAAATAGAACAGGCATTCTGGAAACACTCTGATACTTCTTCAAAAAGTTAAACCTAGAGTCCTATCTGACTTGGGAATCCCACTTCTCAGAGAAGTGAAAACATTGTGTGCACATAAAAACTTCTGTACAATTTTTCATTGTAGCATTGTTCAAAATAGCCCAAAGAGAAAATATGCATGTCCATTATGACATAGCCACAGGATGGGGTGTTATTTGACAAGAAAAATGAATGAAGAACTAATGTATGCTACAACATGGATTAACCTTGAAAGCCAGGCACAAAACCCATACCTGATTCCATTTATATGAAAAGTCTAGAATTGGTAGATGCCTAGAGTTAGAAAGTAGGTTTGTGCCTGTCTACACTAAGGAGGATGGGAAATTGGAGAGAAAATGTTAAAGGTATGAGATTTCTTTCTGGAGAGATGACAATATCCTAGAATTAGAAGGGATGGTTGACCAAACTTACAAATATATTAAAAATCACTGAACTGTATACTTCAACAGGATAAATTTTATGGCATGTAAATTATATTTCAATTTTTTAAAGGCCATGGTCAAATTATTCCACATTGTCTAAGGAGATTGTTTTAATAGACAGCATAATTTCTTTTACAGTAAGTAAAAGGATTTTGGCCATAGAGATTTTTTTAAAAAAAACTTGTTTTTCTATTCTAACCATTATTTACAACCTAATCAAAGAGAATAGAATCGTTTCTAAAAGCTGGAGCTGAACATTTCATTCTCAAAATTCCCTTTTGGATTCTACACAAGCTCAGATGTTAGGTAGAGTAGTTCCACAGCCAAGGGCAGGGTGCTTCCGCCTGTTACCACCCCGGGCCTGACAGAGCCAGGAAGTCAGTACATCAGCGGGACAAAGATGAAGAGAGGGCTGCAAGGAGAACCCTACTAGGCACTGGGATTTGGCTGAGGGCCACACCCAAGCCCCTTGATGTCCTGAGAGCTGGGAGGTAAGAGGGCAAATACCCTTAAGCCCCCCAGCTTTGCTCTGCTCTCTCTCTTACCTCATGAGGTCAGGCTGTCTCCCAACCTGAGCAAACCCACCAGAGGCCACAGCTGGTAAGTGTCATCCATTCAGGTCGGATTTTCAGGAACACGGTATGTTATGGTAGAGAGCACTTCCGCTGGAACAGGGTTTAAAGAGCCAGTGGAACTGCATTATTTCCACCAGTTCTGGCAATTGCCTGTACTGAATTATTGCTACGTAGTTTATCACTTCTAATAAACTAAACTTTTCTCAATGAAAAGAACTGAGTTTTGCATATTTGTGTATTTCTACCACTACTTTAAAGATTGTTTGGCAAACTGAGGGTTCAGCTCAGTATTAGAGCTAAACAAATGTTGGTCTGAGACACATAGAGCTAGGCGTGTACTAGGGCCTGGGTTTAATCCTAGCACCAGAAAAAAATTGTTTCTCATATATGTTAGGAATTTAACAGATGTTAATTGAATACAAAATGAAAAAAATCGACTTTTTTTAATACCTAGGAATTATAAATGTAATTTGCATGTTAACTACCAGTTACAGAATTCCTGTCCCTAAGGGATGTGTGAGAGAAAATAATTGGCTTCTTTCACTGCTGAGAATACTTTTAGTCACTTTATTGGAATTTATTATATTTTTAATCCAGGTATATTTTATCTTAAAAAATAACAAGAGAAAAAAAGAAAGCTTTTCGCTGAAAAACGTTTTCTAAAGGTTACTTAGCACTCACTCGTGTTGAGATGCTGGTTCCCTCTTTCTGCAGGTAATGACAGCCTAAAAATGTCACCAATTCAAATACAACCACGTGGACTCTTCCTTTTAAAGTTCACTTGTGGAAATAATTACCAGTATGGATTTTTTTTTTTAAAAAATGGTAACTCTTTTAAAGTATGCTACTCTGTGGATCACATTCTGGCAATTGAAATATTTTTCTCCCTTCTATACAATGAAGATGCTAAAGGTAAACCACTATATAACTTTTGTAAGAAAAAAGATACGAAGCTTTATTTGTAACTATTTGTGTATATATTTTTTAAAGTAATGGAACTAATAGAGTATATGAAAAATTAAAAGGATGAGAAATAAATGGGACAAATCAGTAACTGGTTACATTTGTTGTCAAACCAAGTCTAGAGAAATTTCATAATCAGAATGATAACAATATATGGCACCTAACTTACTTTTGGCAGTAAGAGTTTTGAAGAGTTTAGCATTGGATGGAGCTTAGCAGGGCATGAAGTCTGATAATGAAATTGTGGTTTGGCTGAAAATGTATGGACTTCATATCAGAGTCGTTTTATTGTATGATTGAGATATTTTCCAGGCTTACATCCTGCTTTGCATTTGGTGAGGAAAATCAACAACTTAATGAGAAAGGGAGGTTTCTACTTTAAACCAAATGTTATACTGTAAATTATTATACCAATAAAAAGAAAATATAGGTTATTTTGTCTTATCTTGATCTCCCTTTCTCTAATGTCTGCCATACTCTTTCTGAAAAATCAATGATAAGTGGGTCAATTCTCTATCCCATATATCAAGACCCTTTGCTGTGCATGCAATATCAAGTCTCAAAGAGGAAGCACGGCTACTATTTCCATAGCCAAGGGCTGGCTACATTGTTAGCAGGGTTGAGAACCCAGAGTTACCTTCCTGAATTCTTGATTTCCTTTCCTGGACTTCCATGCCTGATAAGTGTAGTCTCTTCACTTTGTTCTTCTCAGCCCTTAGCCCTCTTCCAATGATAAGACAAGTATTTCTGTGGAATTATTAGATGGAATCAATGAATATTTGCATAAAACACCAGCTGGATTTCACTATGAATTACCACTGGAAATTTTTTCAGATTTCCTTAAGATGTGCTAAATGTTTTATCTTTCATTTTTGAAGGAATAGATATTTATTTTTCTTTTGATATCTGACACTTTCTATCCCTCTACTTTCCCTCCTTTTCATCTGTCATTCTACCATCTTGTCATATAAAACTGATTTAGTTAAGGTGTTATTTAAATAGGGAGCGGTGATTTCTTAAGACTCAGAATCAATGTTCTTCAAACTCTCCTTCTCATGAGACACAGCTCCGTTCTGCAGTTACAAGGCACTCAAGAAAGTGCCTTGGATGTGTCTATTTAGCATAAGGTCTTTTAAGTTGACCCCAAACCATTTTAAACTGTCTTACAATTTAAATCTTAAAACAAACTAAAAAGTCTGATTAATAAGTCACATTTTGTGAGATGAACTTGATCTCAATCCCTAAAAGTGGAGTGGTTGTTGCCTTGATCCTATATGTGTATTTTTGTGGATCTCCATTAAAATATCTGGACGGTAAAAAAATATTTTCTTGGCTTGATTAAAGCCCATATTTTATAGTAGTTGACTATGACTCCACTGAGAAATTACCCTCTCAGATGATACCCAAGAACTTCTTTCTTGGAGCTTGCATAAAAAACTTCAAACTTTACTTACAGAGTTATAAGAAAACATACCATTTGCATTCTTCCACATCAGATCTCTGATTTTGATTGCTTTTGTTCTTGTTCACTGGATACTGCAGGCACATTGTCTTGTTAAACTCAGTCAGTAGGAGGGGGAAAGTTAGTGGTATCTTCTATTCTACCCTCATATTGTCTCTGTGCTTTCTTACTGGAAAGAAGTTAATTGTATATGTTTAGCACATGTCTGTGAAAGTTTGGAAAATGCCTTGTAAAACTGTTAAACAAAACTATTGAAAATAGAAAAAAAAACCAGGGAAGACAAGGGGAAAAATATCACCCACATAAGCAAACTCCAGTTTTATAAGAACAATAACAACAACAAAAGAGCTTGAAAATGTACAGTTTAGTAGTAAAACTGCACTATATGTGGGGCTTGAAGGAACCAAGGATGGATTATTATTCTTTCTGTAGTATAACCAAAAGTTCACCATAAAAAGAACAAAATTAAAAGCTAATTATAGAAGTGCTACCACTGTATTGCTGCAGACTTGTAGATGCATTGGAATAGCATTATTAAAATGATTAAAATATGTTCTAAATCTTTTAATTGTACTGAGATCAGTTCTTTACTGTCATTGGACCAATTCATCAGGTATCTTGGCTCCCCTATTTCCACTGAAGTAAAACCATGGGACTTGTGTTTTCCAGATGTTTGTTACACTTCCGTCATAAATCAAATAGTAAATCAACCTGGTTCACTATTTGGTAAAGAGCCTGGTCAGTTCTTCAGAAAAATATTTATTCATGTTTCGTATTTATCAAAAGCATAAAGATGCCTATTTTTTTTCTTTTCTCATATTTATTTTTTTTCCTTAAATTATTTATTGGTACATTTTAGGTATACAATACATTTACATTTATCATTGGGTGTTTGTACCTGTACATGATGTATCTTGGTTCTTATTTTTACCCCATTACCTGTGCACCCTTCACCCCCTCCACCCTTCCCTATTTACATAGGCTTTGTTTCCATTTTTCTTCCTTTTCTCATAATTTTTCCTTTCCCTTCTTTCCTTTTCCCTTCCCCTCCCCCCACCCCTACCGCTTTGGACCTTTTCCTATTTCAAATTATCAATTATTTGTT